GCAGTAAACATTTTAGAAGCCCAAAATATTTAAAATTCTGTTTTATAATATCCAGTGTTAACCATGCGATAGAGGAATATGTGTGGAAAGCAGGAAATGTCAACTCTCAGAACCTTTTTGAAGGGCTGGTGAACAATACCTTTCCATTTAAAACAAACTCCCTTTGATCCAGAAATCTGACTACTGAATACTTACCATATGCATATATTCCAATCAGTAGATTAAAATAAGTATACCACGGTGCTCATTTTTAGCATTGCTTATAATAGCAAACACCTAGGAAACTCAAAGCACCTATCAACAAACCACAATACATCCATAATGGGATAATATGCTGCTGCTACAAAAGGATGAGGCAGATTTCTATGCGCTGATAAGGAAAACTTCCAAGATATATTACGGAGTAAAAGCATGTGTGTTATCTCAAAACACCTAAGTGTTCATTCTTGAAAATTCTGGAAGCATATATGTAAAACTTCAAAGTGGTTGTCTCTGAGAAACAAGACTGAGAGTAGTATGGAGAATGTGACTATTCCATTTATTTTAAACTCTTCTGTACTATTTGTTATTTTTACTATGTGTGTTTATTATTTTTTCATTAATAAGAATAATGACTATATGCAGTATATTCTGCATGGTCTAGAAATGTCTACTTGCTCTCTGTAGGAGTGGGGAAGAGAACATCCTTTGTGTGGCCTAGATGCAGGAGCAGAGAGAAATTTTAATTTCTGATCTTCCAGTTTCAGATCTATATTGTCCATCTCTGAAAAGCTACCTTGAAAGAGAATGAGTTATTCCACTGCAAATGATACCAAAGAAAAATCAGTGTTTCCTCTAATGCTATTTATTATGTAATTATATTATTACAAAGATGAAATCAAACAAAAACGTTTTCAACTTTAAAGTACAGCACTTTCCATTTTTCCAAATCCCATGAGAACCGGAAAGATCAGGCTCCAAAGAGCTTTCTTTTCCAACCTAGAATCTTGTGTTTGCTTAACTCAGAATACTAAACAACTCTTTCAACTAAAGCTGCTTCCCTGAGAGAAATTAGAACATGTTAGTGTTGAAAAGATGAAGTGAAATCTTCAAAAAATTTCATGTTGAAAATCTTAAAGAGTATGTGAACTTTGTTTAGTATTTATTCCATCAAAGAAATCCTTCCAAGCCCACAGAAAAAGTGGTGGCGGGGGGTGGAGGGGACAGACATAAGAAAAGTCACGGGATACCATGTCTCTGGGTTTTTCGCCCCTATTAATTAGTATCAAGTGATAGTAACTAGCTTTCCAAATTGTATAAAAGAAATCTCTTTTATAGCACCTCTCCTTGGTCAGAGGGTTGTGATACACAGATAGGCACTTACCTAGGTTATTTTATTGATACCTTTTGTTTGGGGTGGAGGGGGCGGCGCTTTTCTGAAGACTATATGAAGTAAGGCCAAATGTCTATTTGAAAAAGTCTAATATCTTAGTAGCTGAAAACTCTGCCCACTAAATCTGACTTTATATAAACCTTCTGATAAAAAAAATAGTGATTTCACTTTTTATTGGAGGGGTGTACAAGTAATCAATTAAGTGAACAAGCTATAGCTTGATGCATTGAGCTGTCTGTGGTACTGAAAAATGACACCAAACTGAAATATATTGAGCCCTATTCTTCATTACACTATGTTAATTGGAGCACTTCCGTCCATGACTCACCTGAACCCTCTTAGTCTGTCAGTGTGTATATAAACATTATACAAAAGGTCACAGTCACTTGCTTTCCAAGGTTCTCCTTGGAAATGTCAAGGTCTCTCCATGATTTGTTAATCAATTCTGATATACAGGGCCAGAATGTTGACTATAACATTTGCTTTTCCTGAATGAAGTGAGAAATCATACCATATACCAAAACCGACACTAGTTAGCTCTCTCTCCCATCATCATGTTGATATGCTAAAAGGAAAAAAAAAAGCCATTTTAGACACATGCTACATCCAAGGACATGCTCTGAATGACAACATAATGCCTGCATTTAGTTCCTTAACTCAAGGTAAGAAATATATTAGAAATTCTTACTAGTAAACTGAGATTGCCTATTTGCCTAAGACTTATTAAAGAACTTATAATAGTGACATCTATAAGTAAAAAATAAGTCTGAGAATTTGGTTTCACTGAGCTTCAGAAGTATTTGGACAGTACCACCACAACTATCCTGAATCTATTAGAACAATCCTGTTTTATTTCTGGTTCTTGACTTCTAGGTCAGAATCTCCACATTCATGTGGTCAATTTCTATTTTGTTGTTTTTTTTAAGCATTTCAGGTAATAATATAGAGCTTCAGCCTGAGGAAATCCCTCTAGATCAGAAATTTTCAACTGGTGTGCCGCAAGAATTTTTGAAACATGCAATACCTGACTTTTTAGTCAGGGGCACTGACCGCTTTTCCTTAGATTGTCAGATAAAAACTATGACAACAGCCAACACAACTATAGCCATTCACTGTGTTTGAATCAAAACGATACCTATTTTTTGTAAAACTGGCAAATATGCAGAATTTTAGTAATTATGTGTGCCATGAGATGGAAAAGGTTGAAAATCACTGCTCTAGATAAAATACTGAATGTAAAATCTATATCCCAAACAACTGATATTACACAAGCATCTATTTTAAAATTCTATTAAGTGTGATTATTTGAACAGAAACCGTATGCCATTTAAATAAACCCAATTTAAAAAATCTAACATTTTGTAGTGTTTTATGACCCCAACAGCAGAGAAGTTTGTTGCGCTTATCTTCATTTTTCTCACTCATGCCATACATAACCAATATAAGTATGCATTTTTGTAACAGAACTTGTCCTCAAAATTAGCCAATGAGTAGAATTCTTTCAAGTATGACATAATCTACAAAAATATGATTTCCGATATTTTATTATTTTCTGTAAGTTTCAGGAGTTCTAACATGGTATCAATTTTTTCTTTCAACCTGTAGTTAACATTGGGCAGCTCCTCTCACACTCCTATGTTATTTCAAAAATATCTCAATAATTCTTAAAAAGTCACTGTCTTTAGAAAGACACCTGTTTTTTGATGTTAATACCATCCAGTGTCCTCCCTCACGAATGCTTGCGTAGCTGTGTGCTTTTCAGAAGGAACGGGTAATAACAGGAAGGCTGGTGTTTATTAAAAAGTAAAAACAACAACAAAAACCAGCAAACGCCAAGGTCTCTTTCTAGAGTGAACTGAGTAAAACCACTCTGATCTCCAAGAAAAAAAAAAATTAGTTACTTGATTTTTAAAAATACCTAAAATATTCTATAATTATCTTCTAAGTTTAAGCCTCTTCATATACCAAACATTTGGATGTAGAGGGAAACCAAGCGAAATGTCCACATGTCAGGGCTGCTGGCAAGCAGTAGCAGAATACAGCAGGAAGAGCAGGAAGCATTCTGGACTCCACGCTCGGAGGACAGGGCCTGGTCACGCTCTGAACTATCTAGCTGCGTGACCCAGCAACCTACTCACCCTTTCTGACTTCAGGGCCTCATCTGAAAATTGAGTCAAAGAATCCTTAGACCTATTTTGTTCCTTCCAGCTCTGTCTACTCTTCAAGTCAAAATGAAAAGATACACTCATAGTGTTTGAATTACATGTTAGTATCACTTTAAAAGGTTTGAATCTCAAACGCCTATGACCATTAGCACCTAATTAGAGAGAGATCTATGTAAGTTATTAAATTTGAAAGAGTTCAAATATGTATTTGCCTGGTTTTCCCAGTGCAGTTTTACTACTTCCTCTAAATATTCTCTCTTTCTAATTTTCATTCTCTAACCTCATTTCTTCAAAATCGCACTTTTCAAAGTTTTTGCAAATTTGAAAGCAAGATGAAGTAATTTCTCCCTCCTCATTTGGGGTCATGTGCATTTTTATTTTGTTTGGACAACTGTTAAAATTGGTTTCTTCTATATTTAGTATATATATATATATATATTTGCTAATTATTAACTTAAAATTAATTTAATTTCTAACTAATACTCAGTTCCTTAATGGCACGTTCTATACAATGTTTTAAATTCAAAGGTCACTCCTAAAAGACAGCAGGTCAAATTTGATGGTTTAATAGTTCCACCAAATGTCTCACAACTGCTCCAAAAATACCAGAAAATACATACCAGTATAAATTCTACACTGGAAAATCCCAAATCACTCCTAATTTTTGAAAACTCGATTTTAATTCACAAATCTTAATATATCCTTGACTGAAGGTTACAGCAAAGTATACCACTCAAAATACAACCATGAATACTGTATAGAGGATTCTGAAGTTGTCAGCAACAGCCAAATCTAACAATAGAGCTTCCTGGCCGCATTTAAGACATTTTCCTAACAAGACTGCTCACAAGAGCAGTAGCCTTTGCTCTTGACTGACATTTCTGAAAAATGATGTAATGATTGTAGCTAAGAATCTATCACATATCATATATACAGAATTTGTATTCAAAACTTACTATTATTTTTTAATGATGGGGGCTATAGAAAGGGTTAGAGATTTCTCATGTCTTATTTATATCCATTAGCTAGTAATATCACCAGCCTATTTTCTTCCCTAGGCTACATTATAGGAGATGGTCCAAATGGATACAACCTTCCATAATGAGGCACCACTAGGAAGTGGTGGTATCAAACAAGAATACACGTTTACCCTTCAGACTAAGGCTAGTGCATAACTGACCTTAAGGACAAGGAGAGCAAAAGTGGATCACCTGAAAGGAGACAGGGGGAAATCTGAAGGGCTTGATAAATACATCCCAGAAATGACCGCATGCTTACATGCTGCACTGCTTTGTTTTTAACTTCTCGAAGGAACAGGTCAGGTGGTATGTAAGAATGCAGCATGTTTCTTCTGTAACCTCAAGCAAGGACATGAGGGCTTGGAAAAAAGCTCCGCTGCCTTGAGCTTCTCCGGGCTGGAGGCATGACTCTGGGTCATTCATAAACAGCAGAACCTAAGTTACCTGTATTTCCCTGGCGTGGTACACGATGATCAGACCGAGCAGAATGATCGTGGAGAGACTGATAAGGCATTTCAGAGCTAAGGAATACAGCGACGCCTGCAACACAGTCAGACAGAAGCACTTTTAAGAAAGAAGCACTTTCAACCAACCACCTAGGCCCCTGAGTGGTGAGGGGTTGGGAGGGTCAGTGAGTCCCCCACCAAGTGGGCCTGAACTCCCAGCTGGGTTGGGGGGACCCCTATCTCGGCCCTACGATCTGTCACATCACTTAGCCTCAAAGGCAAGCGAGAGGAGAGGACAGCTGGGCAGGCGGGTGCCCAGACAGCCAAGCAGCGGGGTCTCGCCATCACAGACCCAAGTGCAGCTCCTAGCTCTAGGAACCGGAGAGGGAGTTACTCCTGAGTTTAAGCTCTCCGGGTTGAAAGGGCCTCCTAAACCCCGAGCCCCAGAAGAGGAAGAAAGCATGCTTTCCCACACACTCCTGGAACCACTTCTTTCATCTACCCAAACGCGCTGGGCACTCTGTCTCCAGAACTTTGCGCACGGAAAGGCTTCCTCTCCGGAGTTGCCTCGCGGACTAAGCGTGCGCTTCGGAGCCGCGTTCACTGTCCCAGCGGGCACTGCCCTCCGACTGTCCCGGGAAAGCTCGCAACTGGCAGGCAGGGAGTTCCCGCCAGGGCCAACCCCAACCACCTGGCATCCCGCTCTGCAGCCCCGGAAGGGTGGACGGGGGTTCGAGCGCGTACCTTGTCGTAGGCGCCCCACGACAGCTCGGTCTCAATGACCATAACCACGATGCCGAACATGCCGAAGATGAGCGCGTAGTCACTGAGACGCTTGCGCTTCTCGAAGAGGGCACGCCGGTGGCCCAGCTTGTAGCCGATGTTCTGGTTCTTCTTCTTGCTAGACTTGGTGCCGCTGCTGCTGCCATGCCCGCTGCCGCTGCCGCCGCCGCCGCCGGTGCTGCCTCCGCCGCCGGTTCCATAGAGCGCCAGGCTATTGGAGTTGTTGTGCTCCGGCTTTGACACCACGATCTCCGGGGCTGAGGACGAAGCTGCAGCGGCGACCGCAGACGGAGAGGACGCGCCGCCGCCTCCTCCGACGGACGCGGGTGGCTGGAGGGGCTGTGCCTCCGAGTCCATCTCGTGCAGGTTTCGGCGGGACGCGCTCAAGTTGCTCAGCGGACGCATGACGCCCCCGTTGTACCTGCAGCTGCTCATGGCTATTTCGGTGAAGGGGTTGCTCTCGCGGCGTGCCTGGGACTGGTGGTGCTGGTGGTGCGCCAAGTGGGGGTGGTGGTGGTGGTGCGAGAGCGGGGGCCCGGAGCCCAGGCTGCCGAGGCTGCCCGTGGGGCTGGCGGCGGGCTGCAGGCTGTGGCACTGGTGGTACAGGGAGGCGGACGCGGGCTG